AAGTTCCACTGACTTTGTTAGAGAGTTTGACTAGCGCGCGTTTGCCTTTTGGCTACACTCTTCCTAAGCTATTACTACTCTCGCCCGTATCTAAGGTCCTTGATAGCTTCGCCAGCTTAATTGATATTTAGGGGCCAATTACTTAGAAATTTCTTGGTAGCTTCGGGTATATCTTTTAGTTGAGCTTTACTTAAGTTTCATTTCTTATTACTTTAAGTTCAAGCCCAAGTGGAGGCTTTGCTGTATGTAATGAGAAAGGGACCATCTGTGAAATTCTTATTTTGAGAACTAAAGGGTAATTAATTCTTTTTGAGGTTTACGTATCCGTTTCTGAACTAAAGCGAATATTCGCTTAACTGTTCACGAAGTTCCTACACACTTAGCTGTTAGATAAATTGGAACCCCACATATTAATATAATAATTTACCTGTTACAGAGACATTTCATCATAATTTACGTTTATAACAGAAAATTACTTTGATACGCAAAATATTATCTTAAAAATTCTGAAAAATCAATAAGTAATCCTACCGCTTGTGAGCTATACCAGTAATCTAGTGTACATGAAGAAGAGGAGGAGATGCTTTTGAAAACTATGCAGTTTATTCTAGTTTAAAAAAATTAAATATAGCAAAGAAAACATAATACGTTTTGACAATTTAAAAAGTGTGATAACAAAAGTAGTCATAGTTATAACTCTTATCTGTAAACACTATGCAAAATTTCAAACACTATATATTTTTCACGAGAATAAACAAATCTCCGAAAAGATACCTACAGGTTTTTGATAAATATTGAGACGGATTTCTTGAGATTTTGAGTGATGAGAAGATGACAGGTAAGGAAATATCACAAATATAACTCTCCGAGATAGTGTTCTTTCTTGGCAGCAGTGTCTACAGGTATTTCGGAAGAGAGTAGCTCCATTGACCAAAATAAAGGAACCGAAGAAAAAGAAGTAGCTCTGTATGATAGCTGATTGAAAAGAAAAAAAAGTAAACAAACATTTATATTCTGAAGCTAGGTATGTACTCAAAATAATACGAAAATTGATCAAAATGCTGATCTAGTGTAGGTTATCGTTTGTAATGTACTAAAAAAATTAGATATTCGGTCGAAAGGCGAAGCTTTTTTTAGTATATCGTCAGTAGAGAGATATGAATGGAACGTTTTGATTGACAAGGTTATGAATAATGTTGGAATATCATACCAATTTGATATTAAAAGAACGATGCATTCTATGCGCTGGTTTTCAATATACATTGGCGCAAATAAATTTCACATTTCCAAGGAAATTTCTTGCCCAAACCATAATCTCCATTGATTACCTGTGATAAATAAAAACAGTTACATGTGCTTTTCTTGTGTTTTTAAATCCTAAATGGCTAACAGTGACATATTTTTTACATTTTAATTGAAACTAGTCCTCTGGAAGTATGCAAATGTAACGCTGATTTTTGTTGTTTGACTTCTAAATTAATACTTTGTAAGGTACCTCACTTTGGAATTCTAAGTTAATGTTGGAAGTGAGGAACCTAAGAACTGATAAGCGAATAATCACTAGAGTTCGATGACAAGAAACAACAAGAGAGAAGGGTAACTAACCCTTTATTATTTCGATAATATTTAACAAAACTCCGCCTGAGAGTGTACAAGTAAAGCCCGCACTTTGAACTTGAACTTAAAAGACTAAGAATTAACTAAAACTAAGATTAACTAAATAAGTATAGCCAAAGCTATCAAGGTTCAATTAGAGTTGGCCCCTTAACTTATTTTACTACGAAGCTTAGCAAGGGCCTGAGTACGGCCGAGCGTAAAAACAGCTTTGAGAGAGAGAGCGGCCAAAATGGCAGACGCGCGTAATTCAGAAACTCTGATTCTATGCGTAAATATCTTTAAACTCTGGGTCCTTTTTTAATTCTTCGATTATTGTTTCACGGGACTCAATAACTTTTGAGGTGAGCATAGCACACTTGATTGTGTTTCCCTCTTCATCAATTTTTATTCGCGAAAAGCCATCGGCGACCAAGTTTTCCTTTCCCGGAGTGTGTTTTATTATGGTTAAGTTGAACTCTTGTAATTTTAAAGTCCACCGTATCAAGCGAGGCGATAATTTTTTTCCTGAATACAAGCGACCCACTGCCGCATGATCTGAGTAAACCGTTATCGATGAACTTCCGAAGTAGACACGAAACTTCTGAACTGCTAATAATACAGCGAGCGTTTCTCGCTCAGTAGCGGAATAGTTCCTTTGAGTAGCATTCAAGGTTTTGGAAAAGAAAGCTATAGGTTGCCCATTTTGGGAGAGCACCGCTCCAACTGCATAATCGGATGCATTCGCTGAAATTTCTAGACCTTGCTCGCCTTCTGGGAATTTAAGGACTGGGGCATTGATTAGGGCATTCTTTAGTTGTTCAAACGCGGTGTTCGCCTCGGCTGTCCAAGAAAATCTACTTTTCTTTCTTTTTAGTACTAGAAGAGGCTCAACTATTTTCGCAAAGTCCCTTATGAACATTCTATAATAGGAACATAAGCCCAAAAATGAAGACAATTTTTTAGCCGTATTTGGGGAAGAATAACTTTTAATTGACTTACAGTGGGTACAAAAAGTATTTGCACACATACATTTTTGTTCACAATTTATAAGAAAATGCATTAAGAAATACAAAAATTGGCATTTAAAAATCAGAATAAGCTTATTCATTTAAATTAATTACAAAAAATACAATAATATTAATAAAAAAACATTTTTTGCAACAATATTAAAATAGCTTATGTCAAAAAAGTATTTGCACACTCAACTCAACTTTAGCAAATTTGCATTTTTATGCTATTATTTGACAGTCATCCCGCAGTAAATAACATACGTAAGACGACTATAAAAGGAGTGTTTTGTCGAAACGTTATCAGTTGATTGTCGATTCAAATTGTAATGGCACCTAAGAAATCTGAATTGCCGATTTCGTTGCGAGAAAAAAATTTTTCTCTACGTGAAAATGGCCTAAGTTATCGAGAAATAGGTAAAAAAGTAAATGTTTGCTTCTCTACTGTTCGGTATGTTATAAAACGTCATAAAGAAAGAGGATCTACATCAAATAACTTGCGCTCTGGACGCCCAAAGAAACTTTCACTGCGAATGAAGCGAAAAATCATAAGAGAAGCATCAAAAAATCCATTTGTTAGTGCAATTACTTTAGCCAATGATGTCGCTTCAACATCTGGAGTTCAAATCTGTGCCCAAAGTGTTCGAAATGTCCTGCATGAATGCACACATTTATGGGAGATCACCAAGGAAAAAAAACCTCTCATAACTGAACGAAATAGTCTGAAGAGACTTGAATTCGCTAAGGAATATAATCAATAAGCCAATTCATTTCTGGAAAAATGTCATATTCTCCGACGAGAGTAAGTTCAATATCTTTAAATCAGATGGCAGGAAATAATTTGGAGAAAACCTTGTACTGCTTTTCATACCCAAAATGTGTTACCTACAGTTAAACATGGAGGAGGTTATGTTATGATTTGGGGGTGCATGGCTAGCAAAGGAGTTGGTAATTTGTGTGTTTATTGATGGGAATATGATAGCTCGAACCTATATTGATGTGTTGCGAGATAACTTGCCACAAAGTGCAATAAAATTGGGTATATCAGTAATTCGTACTATTTTCAGCAAGACAATGATCCCAAGCACACTGCCGGTATAACACGTATGTGGTTGCTTTATAATGTACCCAGAAAACTTGCCACTTCACCACAATCACCAGACTTAAATCCTTTGGAAAATTTTTGGAATTCTTTGGATTTAAAAATAAGAAAAAGGAAGATTTCAAGCAAATCTACCCTTAAACAAGCCCTTATTGAAGAGTGGTCGAATACTGACCCTACTGTTACAGAAAATTTAATTAAATCAATGCCAGCAAGATTACAAGCAGTAATAGATGCTAAAGGAATGCATACTAAATATTAGTTATTTGAAATTTGCTTATATATTTTATTTCTTTTGTATTCATGCAGGTGTGCAAATATTTTTTGATATGAGATATTTTAATTTTGTTACAAAAAAGCATTGTTATTTATATTATTGTAATTTTTCTGTTTGTTTTTGGATGATTAAACTTATTCTGATTTGGCAATACCAATTCTTTTATTTCTTAATGCTTCTTTTTATGAAATGCAAACAAAAATGTAGGTGTGCAAATACTTTTTTTACCCACATTAATTTTTGAATCATCAGTCGCTATTCCCTTATTAGAGATTTTGTACCGAGGTATCGTAATTCCTTCTCCGCGAACTTGCATTTTCTTGCATTTATTTTGAAACCGGCCTCGTTAAGTAAGGCAAAAACTTCTTCCAAATGTTTCAAATGTTCCTCTAATGTTTCGCTGGTAACTATGATATCGTCAAAATAAATAATTGTACTTTTACCTAAAACTGGCTTTAAGACTATGTCCATAGCTTTTTGGAACGTAGCTGGCACTCCGCTTAAACCAAAGAGCATTCTTAAAAAGGCATAGACGCCTGATTTTGTAATAAACGGGGTCTTTTGGACATCCTCCGGCTTAACGGCGATTTGGAAGTAACCTGACGTGAGGTCTAGGGTTGTCATGAATTTAGTCGAACGAATGTTTCTAATTATTTCGTCAATTATTGGTAGGGGGATATGTGGGATATTTTGTTATACTGTTCAACTTACGATAATCAACTGCAAACCTATACGCGTCCGGGTGTTCAGGCGGTAGTCCGTTCTTTTTTTTACAAAGGACCACCGGACTTGCGTACGAACTCGTGCTAGGCACGATTATTTTGTTTTGTAGCATTTTTTCAATATGCTTCTCTATAATTTTTTCTTTAGTTTTATCATATCTATATGGTTTCGACCGGACTGGAGGGGCATTCCCAGTGTCTATGGAATGACTAACTACCTGACAAAAACCAGGTTTGTCGTTAAACAAAGAATTAAATTTCCTTATCAATCCTTCAATCTTCTTTTTCTCTTCCAGGTTCAAATGTTGTAGATGCAATTCCGGCATGGAAACTTCATCTTCTTCTACCGGGTCCATGTGCACCTGAAACGTAGAATTCTGAAAATTAAGATTTGCGCCGGATGCGAGTAAAAAATCGACCCCCAATATCAATGACGTGAGTAAATTTTTCACGACTAAAAAATTAATTTTTAGGATCTCGTTTTTAATCTGAACATGCAGTGCGGTTTTCCCCAAACATACGCACTGTTTGCCTTGGGCGGCAATTACTTTCTGTCCCGTGGCTTTAAACAGTCTGTAACGACAAAAATGCTTTTTAAAAAAAATTCTCCGATAGGAATGAACATTGTGCCCCTGTGTCCAGGAGTGCAGTGGTTGGTACATTATTTACCAAAATCTGTACCTCCGGCATAGCAAGATTTTGTACTACTACTGTATTTAAACAAATTTCTGAGGGGTCTTCTGTCTTACTCGGTGACCGTTGCCCCTTCTAGATCACCGGTTTGCGTTTAAATTCTGGTTACCTGCCACCTCTTTTCGCTGATTTTTATATCCACCGCCCTTAGATTTATCTGCGCTCTTGTTATTGAAACTTTTCACTTTTTCCCGTCTGCCGAATACGCCTTGTACTGAACTTGTGGTTTTCTTTGTGGGGAGTAAATCTTGAGTACTGGCCAAACGGACTTGCACGCGCTTCTCTCTCAGAGTTCTTTCTTCTACTTTGAAATTTCATTGCGATGCTGAAATAGAATTTCCAATGTTTGCGGATTACGCACTTCGAGAAAATCTTGCGCTGACGGTAGAAGACGTGGCATAATTATTTCAATAATTTCTTTATCGGGCTTTTTCCCGTATAATAGATTAAAAATATGAACTTTTCTTAGAATGAACTTCGTCAAATTCTCGAAACCGCCTTGGTATTTGCTATATAATTCTGATTCAAGCCTCGCACGATCTTTAACAACTGGAAATGTTAATTTTAAAAATTAAGGCCGATTTGAAATTTTCCCAGTTATATGATTCAGATCCTGGGTCCCCCAACAAGAACTTTCCTATACTCTTCTGCCAGCTAAGGGCTTGACCTTTTAAGGCTGCAGTAGCGATGATCACTTTTTGTAGCTGATTCACAGGGTGTAAGGTGAAATGTAGGTCCAGTTGCTCCAAAAACGTCAGGACTGAGCCCTTGCCATCAAAAGTGGCTGTTGGTTTCATAGCTGCATGCAACGTTTCCACGAGGAATCCAAACCCTTCTACTGGACTCGTGGATGTTGTAGGGACCTGAAAGGTCGGAGGGTTCAACGTAAACTTCTCGGATTCTAACGACATGGTCCGTTTATAATTCTTTTCGGGCGCCAATTGTAAGGTACCTCACTTTTGGAATTCTAAGTTAATGTTGGAAGTGAGGAACCTAAGAACTGATAAGCGAATAATCGCTAGAGTTCGATGACAAGAAACAACAAGAGAGAAGGGTACTAACCCTTTATTATTTCGATAAGATTTAACAAAACTCCGCCTGGGAGTGTACAAGTAAAGCCCGCACTTTGGACTTGAACTTAAAAGACTAAGAAGTAAACTAAGTGATAAGTGACGGAGGACGTGAGCACTGTCCCTTTACCTTAATGGTTAATCAGTACAGCACCACGTCCGCCATTATCCAGAGCCGCCAATGGGGTTCGCTGCCGTCCAACTGCCCGGGTCCCAGTGTTTGTTGATATCTGAGAAAAATATAAATAAAACTAAAACTAAGATTAACTAAATAAGTATAGCCAAAACTATCAAATTTCAATTAGAGTTGGCCCCTTAACTTATTTTACTACGAAGCTTAGCAAGGGCCTGAGTACGGCCGAGCGTAAAAACAGCTTTGAGAGAGAGAGCGGCCAAAATGGCAGACGCGCGTAATTTCAGAAACTCTGATTCTCTCTCTGTCTCTGTCTCAGTAAGTAACTTCGTGGTTTAAATACCGCTCCTTCTCATTAAATATTCATCAAATTCCAAAACTACGTTCTGGCCGGAAGTAGTAAGTTGAAGTTAAGAATTTGACAGGAAAGGAACTTTAACTTAAAATTTAACTGTTAACAAAATTAACATAATCCTTACAACTTTACAGATACTTTAAAAGCGCATCCTAAATCCATAAAGTAAAACCTGAAATTCATCAAAATCATTTATACTTCGACTAGAAAAACTTTACTCAAATTGTTTTCAATGAAATTTGAATTTCAAATACAGTTTCTTATAACAGAACCGGTGTTTCCATTTGACGTCAGATACAGGGGTTGGACAAAAATATGGATGTGCTTACGGAAGCACCTACCATACGTGCTCCAACAATTTGCCCACGTTCGAAGTCTGTTAACTCTGACATAATGCAATGCAACCTTACATAACAGTATTCCGACAACAACTGAACTGTTTAGCACATTTACGAAGTTGTATAGGTGGCCTCAGTAGTCAAAAACGCCAGCGCCACCTACATATTTCATTAAAATCGATCTTTCGTTTCAAACATGCATTTCACAAGGTGTTTCCATATTTTTGTCCATCCACTGTATAAGTTTGGAAAAACTAACTTAAAATGCGAGAATGTAACGATCACAAGAAAAAATTTTATGAAAGGATAAGGAGAGTCTTTAAAAAAACATGTTTCTTTGCTTAATATGGTGTAGGAAACCCGTTGGCATCCAAAACAGCTTGCAGTCTTCTCGGAATGGATAAATACAGTTCCTGTATGTTTACCAAGGGAATATTATACCATTCTTCCTGCAAAACGTGGCAAGTTCAGATAACGATGTTGGCGGTGGATAACGAGAACGCACTTTCCGTTCCAATGTAGACCACAAAGGTTCGATAATATTCAGGTCTGGTGACTGTGGTGGCCAGGGGAGATGGGACAACTCATCCTCGTGCTCAGAAAACCAGTCCTGGACAATGTGAGCTGTGTGAACAGGGGCTTTGTCGTCTTGGAAGACACCATCACCATCGGGTAACAAAGTTTGTACCATGGGATGAACTTGATCGGCCAAAATGTTCACATAAGTCTTGGCAGTCATGTGCCCTGACACAGTTATCATGGGGCTAGCAGAGAACCACGATATGGCTGCCCAAACTATAACAGAACCCCGCCATGTTTCACTCTTGGCAACAAGCAGTCTGTATTATAGGCTTGAGATGGCGTTCTCCAGACGTAAACTCGGCCAAAAGCGGGAAACAATGTGAAAGAAGACTCGTCAGACCATATTACTCGCTTCCACTGCTCTATAGTCCAGGCCTTTATGACTTAAACACCACCTTTTCCTGTTACGGGCATTAGCATCACTGATGAGTGGCTTCTCAATTGCAGCACGGCCAGCAATTCCCTGTTTATGAAGCTTCCTTCTAATTGTTTTGGTACTCACAGGGTTCGGTAACACAACATTCATTTCAGCAGTAACTTTTGCAGGTGTGGTCTTCTTATTTTTCGTCACAATTGCCCTTAATGATCGTCTGTCACGATCACTCAGGACACACTTTCGTCCGCGCTGTGATTTAGCAGATGATGTTTTTCCGCTTTTCAAATATGCGGAATAAATCTTCGATATAGTACCTCTTGAAACACTAAACACCTCGTCTACCTTGCTTACGGAAGCACCTACCATACGTGCTCCAACAATTTGCCCACGTTCGAAGTCTGTTAACTCTGACATAATGCAATGACAACCTCACATAACAGTACTCCGACAATAACTGAACTGTTTAGCACATTTACGAAGTTGTATAGATGGATTCAGTAGTCAAAAACGCCAGCGCCACCTACATATTTCATTAAAATCAAGCTTTCTTTTCAAACATGCATTTCACAAGGTGTTTCCATATTTTTGTCCATCCACTGTTTAAGTTTGGAAAAACTAACTTAAAATGCGAGAATGTAACGATCACAAGAACAAATTTTATGAAAGGATGAGGAGAGTCTTTCTCGTTTTTGGCTTTAATTCCCTGTATCCATTTTCTCTTGTTCTTCAACTTTCAACCTATCGTTTTAGATTAATCAGTTACAAAACTCCAGCCTTTTGACATATCGAAAATCGTTAAGTTTTCCGCATATTTGAGATCACTTTCAGTATTTATTTGGCAATATTAATTTCTCCACATCTATTGTGTGCTAATATTGATTTCTGCATATATATTTTGTACATATATATTCTCTGCTAATATAGTTTCTTATATGTATATTGTGATAAGTTTAATTTTTATAAATTTTTCTTTTATCAGGCCTTTTAGCCGTCAACTCAACAGGAATTGATTAAAGTCCAATGTCTGTGATCCAGTAAAATAATTTGAAAGTTTACTATTCAATTTAATAACAGTTTTTATTTACTTGACATATAAAAAACTGAGTAGTGTTTGCAATGTACATCGCATTGCAAATTATTTTAACGTCCCAAGGAAGTTTGAAACAGTATGCCTTATGATAAAAAAAGAAAACAAGGAACCTTAGAAACAATAGTTGTCGTCTCTCAGGAGCATTGGTAAGAACTACCTTTTCATTTCTTCGTCTTTTGCTATTGATGATGACGTCTTTGGAGACTTTGATGTAACTGAATATTTCGCTTCTTGCATATTTCGAGAAATTTGACATTGTCTGTTTTGGTAATAAAAGAAAGAAATTGTAAATGACAAAGATAAAATTAAAAGAAATTTCAGCCTTCCAGTTAATGAAATATTTCAGGAAAGTTTATCCAGATTGATAACGAATTGTGTCGTCATAATTATTATGTGATTAAGTTATTAAAATTTCTTTCATATCATACGCAGTCTGCAGTCAAGGTACCCTTTGAGTAGTAGCATTAAAACACTTAAGACGAGAAAACAACAAATTAAATTGGACTAAATATTTTCGCATTAATAGAGTTAAGAAGTATCTAGTTTTTAATTATTAATTCAAAACAGAGCTTCACATATTATGTTGCGTTTACACAATTTTTCTTTTCAAAAATAAAAGGCCGTTATCCAATCATGAGGATGAAAACAATTTTAACCATAACACTGTTCTTTTTAAAAAATTCATTAGTAATATAGTAAGTTCATTAGTAATATAGTAAGTTCATTAGTAATATAGTAAGTAAACATAGTAAGTGCTAATAAATATCATACATTTAACAAGCTAGTGTAAACCTACATTTGATACAATATGTTGAATGTAGAACGTACAGTGAATATATAAATGAAACATTGCGTTGTGATAAACTAGAATCAGAAGCGAGTATAAGTTAATTTAATCTTGCGTAACACTATTAAAGAAAACAAACTGAGTAAGATAATTTAAGTATCAAATGTTTACTTAGTAAGTAAAATATAATGGTACTTACAGAATCGGTTACAAAAAAAATTTTAATTCTTACACAGGGGGCAAGTCAGTAGTTTTTTTTAAACAGAAATAATATTGTTGCGTGCGTACTGGTTCGTAATAGATTGAATGCACATGTCCGATAAAGTGTTAATAAATTTTTTTCTTATCAAAAGAAATATAACGGAATGCTAGAATTATCCTCAGAGATATTTGTACAAGTGTTCAAAATAGCACGTAGTAATAATCAGTAGTTATCCTTCAAACCACTAAAATGTTAAGTGGAACGCAATGCACGCGCCCAGAGAAAGCTTAGTGCGGAAGCCTGATCGACATAGGGAGACACTGAGGACAGAACCTTCCAACCTCACGTCGTCCAAAGCAGCTGGATTACAGCATCACGCCACTGGTGCCGGTCGCAGAGAAAGCTAATCCGATCAACAATAACAAGAACAGCTAACTAAACAACTGAGCTGAGATGTCTATCTCCGGCTTTTTACAGCTTTTAATCTATCGCGAGAGAGTTCTAGTAATTTCTTTGCTTTTCGAGATTTCTACAAACCAAGAGGATGGAATTACGGTTACAGATAACACAATAGTCAATTACATTGATTCAAATTCAATATAAACTACGAGATATCTATTTATTACATGTTAAATACACGTGTTCCTGTCTTTTTACTTTTCCGGCGTAGCTTTCTCTTAAAATGTGTCTCGTGCTGCATTGCACGAGGAAATAAAACAATTTTAATTATAACTCTACTAACATTAGCTATCTAAATACAAAATTCATAACACTGCTCCCTTCCCAAGGACTGTACGTCCCGGACAGTTCAATCCCTGGACAGGAGGCCATATTTACAACGAAAGCATTAATTCAATAAGATACATTACACTACCATAACGAACAACATAAACAATAATTTCAATAAATAACTTGAAACAAATCAAATACTAAATTAATCAATGAGTGTACAAATTTAGAAACAAAAAGGACCATGGTCTTATACTATTTACATTACATATACTACGTATTATGGCCATAACAAGGAGCTAATCTGTCGTAATGAACGACTTTAGGCTTAGAGTTCGATAACTTACGGATCCGAACTACGACGTCGTTCAGCCTTGTCCTGTGTGTCGATTCACGTTTTGAATTATCCCACACACTGCAGAACTATTAAAGTGGAATTTAATTACCTACAGATAATTATTGCTTAATTTTCTTTTACATTTCCTATTTGTAATTTTGTTTTCATGTGTATAGTACTAGTTTTCATGCTTATAGTTATATATAATTTTAATATTTCGCATATTTCATTTATTTCTATTGATCTGATATTCTTTATATTAATATATATTAATGATTAACATATTACTTGCGTATTTCAAAAATTGAGGTCATTATATTAAAATGTTAATTTCGCATGAATGTTTTTGTAAAAGTAGGCTTAACTGAAATGAGTGGGCCGGTGCCGGCGTTCCATTTCCGGGGGTTCGGTTTTGTGGTTGCGCTTCGTTGCGGCTTTCACCGGAATGAGATAAATTAGAATTATCATCGTTTATAAAAACAAAACTTTTCACTTCAATAATTATCTCGATAGTTGGCAATAGATAATAAAATTTAAAAACGGTCAACTGGAGGAAAATACAACCAATTTTGTGGAGGTTATGTTGAATCTTCCTTTTCTTTCAGTGGACGATTCCAGTTGGCATAGTTTAACGCACGATACGGACATGGTGTAGATAAGGATTTTAAGAAGACGAAAATAAATCTAAAAGTAAAGATAGCAATGTAAGAACATAGAAAGAAAATATTTTTAACACAGGGAATTAAAATCTTTACGTAACATAAAGTTTTACAAATTAACGAAATTATACTTTTAAACAAATTCTAAGAACTGAAATTTAATTCTATTCTACAGAGTTTTATTAAAAAATGTTGAGAAATTACCAGCTGAGTCAGAAAATAAAGATTCAATGACTTGTAAGGATTATATTAATTTATCTAACAGTTAAATTTTGAATTAAACTTCCTTTCCTAACATTTCTGAATTTCAACTTACAACTTCCGGAAAGAACGTAGTTTTAGAATCACGCTTGAATGCAAATGAGGAAGAGCGCTATTTAACCACGAAGTTCTATTATCTTAGTTAGAGAAAACCAGAGATTCTGGATAGTACGCGTCCGCCTTTTTAGGCTACTCTCTCTTAAGCTATTATTACGCTCGGCTGTACTTTAGGCCCTTGATAGCTTCGCAGTTAAACGTATTCGTACCTCTTTCCTGTTTAGCAATCGATAGACGTCTTCGATATTGCTTGATTGGTGGATGATCACCACTATCGATCCTATGTTGCGTCAAACTGGTTCGACCCACATCAGAAAATGAGCCGGAGAGAACATCTTTAAGATGGCACGTTCGGCAGCATTCCTCTCTTCGTCGTTTAATTGCGCATTCTGCAATAACTTCGATGTAATGCTCTCTGATACACGGATTCTGGAGTGTTAATGTTTCGTTTAATGCTGCTAAATGGAGTATATGCTGCAACCGCTTCATCTTTCTTAATAACTCTCAGCCTTTTAAGCTGCGTTGGCAACTCTCACCAGGATAATCGTCCTTGATAGGTCGACGAGTGCTGAGGCTACTAGTACTCTTTTCGGGCTGTTATTCTTCTTGGGATATTCTATGATGCCGTAGTGGAAATTTCTGTTTTTGTCTATGGATCCAGGAAGTAAAAATTCTGTTCTTTCCAGTATTGTGATATTGTCTTTTGCTATGATTTTGTAGACAGATTTAACTCCTTCATCATTATTTCCGAATAGGACTATGTCCTCAGAGGCAGAATGCAGTTCGTTATTTTTTAATTCCAGGAAAAATTGCATTACCTTAGAAAATCCAGTCCGAGTATGCAAGGGTATGTAATCTATGCCACATATGCCGTGTGACGGTAGGTGGCACTTCCAAACGTGATGTTAATGTTTACTTTTCCGTCGATGTCGATTTTATTGCCGGACGTAGGGTGGAGGGTAACGCAAGGCGGCGTCCAGATTAGTTTGCTTTCCAGTTGTTGAGCCAAATCTTTCCGGATGATGGCAACGTTGGCTCCTGTATCTATCGTCGTATTGCAGGGAACTCCATTAATATGCCCTATTATGAAAAGTCCATTACTGCAGCCACTCAATGCAGAAATCTGAAGGGCATTCAACTGGTACTTTTCTTTATCTGGCAACCTCCGCCCCGCGAGATGGCCATTAATTAGTTTCCCTGCTGTTTGCTAGGAGCGGTCTTAATTATTAGTAGTCTGGGGTATTCTGCAGTTCCGCCGTATGTGTCCTTTAGCTCCAGAGTTCCAATATTTTAAAGTCAGCTTCTTGTCACTAATATTTCTCCTCAAAGCATTGCAACTCCAAAGATGAAACCACATGCAACTCCAAAGATGAAATCAATGCAAGCGCAGAAAACACCACGCGACAAATCCAAGAACTTTGTCAAAATACACTAAAAATAAAAAAAGCCAACCAGTCTACAAGAGCCAATTGGTGGACAAAAGATCTGCGAGCTGCAAGACAACAAGAGCCCTCAGAAGACGTATGAAAACGCGCACCACAGAGGAAGAGCGAAAATCAGCATGGATTGAGTATAATAAACAACGGGCAGTATACAAGAAAATGATAATTACAGCTAAATTACAATCATGGAGCAAATACTGCACTGCCAATCAAGACACCTATGGCACCCTCTATAAAATGGCCACATCAAAAATATTTAGACCTACGCAAATACATGCCACCCATCAAATCCAACAAAATAACAATGCAGATACCACGCTGGACACCCTCAATGCAATAATGGATGAAGTCTTCCTTAAAGATGACAGCAATCAAGACACCCCTGAACAAGCACAAATGAGAGCTAACGACAATCTCCCCTCCACCCCTGACGACATCCCATTTACTAAACATGAATTGAGGCAACACGTCAAATCCTTAAATAATAAGAAAGCCCCTGGCCTTGATAGCATACCGAACAAAATTCTAAAAATCATATGCAGGGAAACTCCAGATCTTCTACTCACCCTCTACAACAAGTGCCTGGAATACAAATGTTTTCCAGACTGCTTTAAGATCGGTCAAATAGTCTTCTTTTCCAAGAAGAATAGAAACCCAGAGGATCCGCGCTCA